AGACACTATTAAAATTCAGAACACTGTCACAAAAAATCGCAGCCTGCCACTGTGATGATGTCACAATAATTGTTCATTTAAGATTATATTACCAAAATGCAGTGGTGATATTCAGCGGGTTCGCACAGGTTCGGCTGAACCCGTTGTTAACATTTTCAAAGTTTTCTGAACCTTGTTAAACACATGTAACATTTCTCAATGGTTTTTGATTCTTTTAAAAAATATATTAAAATATACGTATTATACTCTGTAACACTACTAAACTAGAGCCTTCTGATGCACCATTTGAGCAAAAAAAAAAAAATTGTTAAGGAAAAATTTTCTGTTAGTGAACCCTTTGTTAAATATTTCGAATATCACCACTGCCAAAGTGGACTTTCACTCACACACAAATTACTTTTTTATACAATGATTAGTCTCATAAAATCAATTTTTTCAGATTTATATTATTTTCAAACAAAATTCAAAAGCTGCTTATACTGTGTATAACTTCTTAAGGATAATGTTTCATAATTTATTTAGGAAAGTTCTATATTTTATTTTATTTTGAATTAAAATTTTTTGTGCACTTATTATCTTAATCTTTTTGTTTTAAATTCTGTTTTAATAAACTTATTTTTCAGAAATTTTTGTGTGATACAGTATTGAATAAGAATGATTTAAACCAATTAAAACAAATTTAATTTTTTTGATAATCTTTTGAAATGTAATATTGATTAAAAAACTGAAAATAAAGTTAAGAATTTTGTTTGATTAGAATCTGATGAGGACTAAAATGATTTACTTATTAGTAATCATAATAAAATTACTGGGAATAATTTTGATTAAAAAAGTTCAAATATAAATTTAAACTGAAGGAATTTTTATCACTGATATTCATTAATTAAACCTTCTCTATTTTAGCCTTTCTAGCTCTTAACCTAACAGTCATTTTTATTTACAAAAAAATACATTCTTAATTCTATAAGACATTTCTGGGATTAATGTCAAGGATTGTACCGGTACATAGTATTCAATATACAAAACATCAGAATGTTATCATATTTGTTAGCTCTACTATTCAGTGCATGACAAAGGATTTTATAAAAAAAATTTTAGTTTAAAAATACAACATAGGGTATGTTAAAAATTAAGATTAAATTGATTAGCAGCTATAATAAATATAGTTAATTAATTTAATCGTAATTTACATTGAAGGTTAGAAGAGTTATTTAATATAAAAAATTAAGTATAATAAATGAGTAATAATTCAAAATAAATAAAATATTATAAAAAAAATAGATTATGTCATATTCCTGTTTAATACATATACAATTTTATAATTGTATTAATGTAGTTTTACCAATAACAATGTACTGGGTGATTCAAGACAGCTGTACAGAACTTCACCAATGAATTCCCACTACAAAATGCAACAAAAATATATAACAGGAGCCCATGTGATTTCAAGATATTAGCCTGGAAAGATCCCATCAGTATCATACCAACAAAGAGACAATAGGTACAAGTGTATGATTAAAAAATAACTTTATTTCTTACACATTATATATAACTGTTTCATGCTCATAGAAATTGTTTAAAGCATCCTCCATATGTTGTCACACATGCCTGTAACCATTTTCTCAATGATTTTCTAATTTGCACAAAAAGGCCAGACATATCAAAGGCAGCTGTAATACATTCCTAAAGCTTCTCCAATATTTGTATATGAGTTGCATACATAAGCTGTTTAAGATGGCCCCATTCAAGGAAATTCAGTGGATTAAGTCAGGGTAATGTGTGAGCCATGCTCTGGGTCCTATCTGCTGATCTAATGATGTCTGAACTTCAAATGTACTGCACATATACTGCAAGGCTAATGTATGTTGATGTGCCATCATGCATGTACTATATGTAGTGTCTTGTAGCCAGTGGTAAGTCATCCAACAACAGAGGTAAATCCTCCTAAGTAGTTGAAGAAACTGCGGATAAGCCACATCAGTCAGTTTCTGCTCTATGATGTCCTGAAACACACCCACCCATATATTCAAACCAAATTGGTGCCAGTGTCTTGGGTTGATGATTCCTTGGAGATTATCTCTTATCATAGATAGACAACTATGATAGTTGAATATCTTGTCTATGTTGAAATGGGCCTTGTCTGTGTAGATAACATGGGCCCAGAATTGATAAACCTTTGTATAGTACCTATTGACAGAATTGACAGTGAGGGATATAATTGGCAAGCATCAATACCTGTACTTGCTGTGATATGGAGATAAGAACATTGTCTTGCAACAATATAATAAGAACTTGTGGAAAGGTCATCTTCCACCATAGACAATGTTTGTTCCTTGACTGCAGGGAACCTACCCAACATCCCAGAATACCTTCATGTGATGCCTTGAAAGATTCCTCTCATGTAATTGCTGATGCATTTGAGCAAGCAGCCTTGCAATGGCACACAAACCTTCAAGTACAGTTGGTGTGTCTTCTAAATTTCTGTTGGCCTTCCCTTAGTGCAGTGGTTCCCAAACTTTTTGATTCTCGGCACCCTTGCTAAATCCAGATTTTCCCAAGGAATCCTATGTCAAATTCTAACAAATGCAATTTGCTAAAAAGTAAAATAGCCAATATTTTTTAAATTAAGTAAAATTATAAAAATTTTATAGCATTTTGTGGCACCCCTATGATAAAGCATCACGTGGCACCCTAGGGCGTTGTGGTGCACACTTTGGGAACCGCTGCCTTAGTGAAAGACTAGACCAGTGATTCCCTAACTTTTTTTGAGTCCAGCCCATAAACTTATACCCAAAGCCTCCCAACTGTATCCCCAATGCTCCCTAACCCACTGTGACTTTCTCTTGTGTGAGAAAGGCATGAAAATATTCTTAGAAAAGCTTTTCTACAAACCTCACACTGTTCTTACTATGCATTGTTCTCCATATCTGGAAACCATTAAATGCAATTTTTCTGCTTACCCGTTTTAACTGCTTTCAGGGGAAAATGCTTAAATTGAAATAACATGACTTCCAGTTTGTAACAGAAGTTCATATACAGTGGAACCTCGCTTAATGAGCAAAACAAATTGTAAAAAAAAAAAAATGACTCACTTAATGACCAATGTTTTGCATAACAAGTGACGAGGAGAGGGAAAGTCCCAAATTGTGCACATGCTCCATCAGTCTGTGTTTAGCACTCATTCCGTTAACATCTTAGTGTCGCTTGTGATCACACATTTTTCCAAACTTGTGTTCACACATATTACATATAAACATCAACAACCATAGCCCATTATATAAAAAACACGCCAAATGATATGCCATATTCTCAGACTATGTAAAGGCTACAATTAAATATTAGAAATTAATTAATTTGACTAGAGGTAGGCAGTTATGCTGCCATCTCTAGTCTAGTATTTAGAAATGTCTAAATTAAAAATTAATTATTTATAATTATTAAATTTAATACGAGACGGCAGCATAACTGTGTACCTCTAGTCTAATTAATTAATTTCTAATGGAAAGGTTGGGGCTGAAGTTTTCATCTCTAAAACGTGAACGTCCATTATTGAGCACAACCATATTGTAAGCCTAGAAGTTTGACAATGATGTTTGAAACATCAAGCATGATTCCAATAACATTCAAAACATTGTCAAACTTCTAGACTTACAAGATGGCAGCACTCAATATTCAACGTTCACGTTTTAGAGATGAAATCTTTGGCCACAACCTCTAATATTTAATTATAGCCTTTATATAGCCCAAAAATTTGTCATATCTTTTGGCATGCTTATCAGACATATTATCTGTGATTTTTTTTTGTTTTCTACAAATCAAATTTGCATTTCAGGTTACCTCATTCTGCACTAGAAGGAAGATGATAATGATTCATGCTCCTTAACAATGTATATTGTATAATTTTCTTTGAATAAATGTTATACATAAAATATTTGAGCATTTTTTTCAGTATGGAATGCATTATTGTATTTTACATTAATTTATATGAAAAAAACTCTTTTGTTTAACAAGTGTTTTGTATTACAAGTAAGATTCTGGAATGAATTATGCTTGTTAAGTGAGGTTCCACTGTATAGTTAATTGGGGCCACCTGCTCTAATTTTTACATAGTTGGTCTCAACTTTCATCTATCTAGCTCCATTCTCAAGATTAAGGAAAGACAGACAGTGGGAATTTATAGGTCTACAATTATTTCAAATTGCAGCCCAATTAAAACAGAACATATAGATTTAACAAATAGGTAATCATTATAGGGGAATACTCTATTTACAAAATTCTGAAGGAAATAAATGTAAAAGACAAGAAGTAGAGTGAAATAGCATGAAACAAACATTTTAATTCATTTAATATTATAGTATATGAAAAGAAAATATAGAATTATGTAACAAAAACAATCCTTTGAGAATATATTTTCCCATTAAATTGGAAATAATTATTATGAGTGACAAGAAAAAGAGCTTCTTGCAAGTGTAGAACATGTGATATTGGGTGACTAGTATTAAGGAATAGAGTATTTGCCAGCATGACAGCCTCAAGATGCGGGACAGACGGAAATAAAGAGATGACATCGACTTTGTAAAGTCAGTATGAATTAGAGGGGAGGTTTAGAGTCGGTCTGAATTAGTAGTTGGTATTGTAATAGTTAAATGAGTAGTCGGTATGAATTAGAGGGGAGGTAACTATCCAGTATCCTCTCATGTATATACGTTACGTTGATGATGTGTTAATTGTGTGGGACGGCTCCAATGAGGGTTTACAACAATTCACGCAAATGTTAGCCTCCATTTATCCTTCAATTAATTTTACTGTTAAAAAACAAAAAAAAAATCCTTTGAGAAATTGAATTTTATTACTTTAGTTGAAAATCAAATTTATGAAAGATTAACTAATTCATGAAGTTTATCCCTTCTAAATTTCATTTACAATCAGCTAGAATTTCAAATGCTATAGTTATATATAGAGATAAATATGTATATATATGATATAAAATAAAAACTTACAATTTAAATGTGTTTCAGTATCTGAAGTTTCATTACTTTCTGATTGTCTATCATATTCTTTAATTATATCTTCAGCCTCTGATAATATTTTTGCTCTTAAATTACCTTGGATATTTTCTAAATATTTTAATAATATTTTAAAATCATCATCAGATATCTAGAAAAGAAAAAAAGAAAAATTAGAATTATTTCTGACAATCATTCAAAAGTAGAAATGTAGAACTGCATAGCTATATTAGAATGAACAACTTTAAATCCATTAATTAATTATAATTGAATAGCAAATATTTTCAGCTACATTTATCTGCCATCTTCAAATTCAAAGAACAAAACAAAAAATTTAGTAGTTATAGACTTGAATATCAGATATGTAATTCAAATGTATGTATATCAAAATTGAAACTTAAAGATTAATTAAAATTGATTAAAAACGTAACAAAATTAATATATGTAAATAAGATTATAGGTCAAAGAAACTTAAATCTGTTAGAAATCTATTTAGAATTATATATAGTCTACTGTAAAACAGCTTCCATGCATCAGACAAATAGTCTACATCAAAATAATTGCAGTCATGCTCCTTATGCTATTTATATACCCATAGTCTATACATATTGGCAGATACTAAAGTAATTTCTGAAGATCCCTGATAAATATGACTTAAAATTTTGATCAAATTTTAATAACTTGTATTATATGTTGTTGCTTATTCTTAAAACATAAACAGCTTAAAACATAATATTCTTCATTAACATTAATTATATATTAATACTACTTAGATCTTTCTATTTATTAATTATTGAATGTAATTTTCAAAAGAATAATGTTATATCTATATTAAAATTTATTCTTCTAAAGACTACTATTGTAATTTAAGAAATTTAAATATTTTGTTAGTATATTCTAAATTCTTTATTAGATCATTTTTAGCTTTTAAAAGTAGAGTGGAACCTCAGTATACGACCTTAATCCATTCCTAATGTTTGGACTTATACCGAATAGGACGTATACCAAACCAACCTTTCCCATAAGAAGTAATGTAAAAATAATCAATCCGTTCTCATGAAAAAAAATGGCTGGCTTTAAACACCTCACTTCCTGGCTAGTTCTTGCTTGATTTTTCATGAGATCAGCATGTATCTTTTTAGCTTTCTCGCAAATAATTGCTTCCGATACAATGTCGCCAGCACACTGTTTTTCAGTTATCCAAAGCAAAAGCAATTTCTCAACATGATCTAATGTCTTCGATCTCTGTTTAGAAATTGATTGAACTCCTTTCCCAACGTTAGCAGATTTAATAATGTCTTTATTTTTCGCGATTGTCAATATCGTCGTTCTCGGAATACGGTAGGCAACAGTTAAATCTTGAACACGCGTACCACCTTCATATTCCTCAACAATCTCTTTTATCAATTCCATTGTGATTCTAGTCATTTTTTTTAGTTTTCTGTTGCTTTTCATTTGCCTTTTAATAAAATTTTACTTACAAATTAAAATCAGAAGAAATTTAACAAAGTTATAAACTGTGGCACCGTGAACGTCTAGTCTGGTCTAGTACACCAATAGTGCTACTTGTTCATAGATGGCGCGTATAATTGAATTAAGTCGTATACTGAACAAAATTTGTTTCGTCCAAGCAGGAACGTATTCCGAATTGGACGTATTCTAAAGCAGACGTATACTGAGGTACCACTGTATTTAAAATAATAGTTCTTGGAAATGTTAGGTGGGACAATTTTGGCATCTTTACTATACCCTATTCATTTTAGATTCATATGTTTTTAGGTTAAAGTTTACAATCCTACAACCTACTCCTACATCATACTTTCACTTGATGTACAAGATCTTGTTCACAAATGGTATGTCTTGTTTTTAATTTGCATGTTGAAGTGCTAAGTGTACAGAGTTTGTCACTGTACATGTGTGGAGGTAAAATTCTATTGCATTTTAATTCCATTTTTCCAAGATGTTTGAATGTGCGAGTTTAATATTTATATTTGTGATTTTTTTCAAAAAAATAACAATTATAGATATTTGTTGGCTTTCGTGCATGACTGTTGATGTGGTGATGTTGCAAGGAGAATATAAAGAATTATTAGATAAAAATGAACACTACAAATACCTAGGATACCAGTGAAAAAATTAAACACGAAGTGCAAATGTTTTCACCCAAAAACCCTTAAGTAGGCAGTTTGCTTGCCTGACGATGTCTGTTTAACATGGGCGAAAACATTTGCACTTCCTGTTTAATTTTCTCGCTGGTATCCTAGGTGTTTGTAGTGTTCATTTTTATATATAAAGAATTATGCTTGAATGAGAGGATTTCTTTCAATGTTAAATTTGCTGTGAAAATTGGTCTTTTGCCCCCAATAGTATTTGTGAAAAATGTAAAAGGATTAGATCCTTGAAGCCACAAGTTGGTGTGAAACATCCTGTTGAAACATTGTTCTAATAACAAAGTTTCAAAAAGTGTGAGCAAAGGAACTTTTAGAGGTAATCATGGTAATATGAGTTGGGAGAAAATATTTCTCTTTATTTAACATGTTTTATGTAGAATGTAGTTTGACATACACTTGTAATGCTGTAGGAATTAGTCACAGAACTGGAGTGAATTGGGCAAATTTTGTAAGGCATGTAATGACTTGACCTCCATAATTTGACAAGTTTGAAAATAAGTGGAATACGTAAGACTGTCAAAATAGATGAGACAGTAATTTGTGAAAGGAAGTATGAGAAAAGTAGGAAAATGAAAGGAAGCTGTTGGATTGTGAGAGGTGTATTCAGAGAGGACAGTGCATATTTTGTCATTCATGATCTGAAGGGACAATAAATTGGGTTGTATATAAGTTTGTTCATCCTGGGGTGATGATTAATATGAATGAGTGGAAAAGATATTTATATATAGATGATTTGGAAGGTTAAAAAGTTGGCCATAAAACAGACAAACACACTGAGCATTTTGTTGATCCCAAAACTGGAGCTCATACTCAAAGGATAGATAATTTGTGGTTGCATCTAAAGGACCATAAAAATGTTCCTAAGCATTTTGCTGAAAAACTGTCAGATTCATATTTGTATTCTGTTATGAACAGGAAGTTGATAAATGGTTGGCAATTAGTCCAGGCATACAGTTGCACAATATATTAAATCATATAGTTAATGTATATCCTGGATATGGAAGACAACCAGTTTGAAAGGAACCAAAAAGTGTGCCTGAAGCACCAAAAGGTAAAAAGAGGAAGGGTGAAGACAACGATCACGTGGAAGGCACTTCTGCATTTTTAATGAAATGACGAACCGTAATGAATCATGCAGTAAGTGTATTTTGAGTGTTTTTTTTTTTTTTGTTTTGATCACCTACTTTTCTTATTATTATTTTTTTTTAAATTAATCATAGTTTAAACATATATGTGTAAGTTTAGGCATGTTTTTTCATTATAAGAAAATGTGCTGTATGCAAGGTTAGAATATCGTCATGTGATTTTGCCGAGAAAGTCCAGAGGGATATCGGACATGCATATTACATTCCTCTGTGGTGGTGTGGAGGACAAAGAAAGGATGACAAAGAAGTAACCATAAAATTAAACAGGATATTTATTCAACTACAGCTACTTAGTCCTTCGTACACCTGGTTCGTTTACACTAAACACACTTGATCCCAAACTATAGTACGTGCACAAGTTCGAATCCGTCCGACAAAATTCTATATTTTCACAAATAGAACACGTGCTCGCGACAATAAAAAGATTATGGTTTAAGATACTACGACTACTTAAATCTACCTTAATCTAGCTTATATGCTAAGGAAGAAGGGTAAAGAAATTAAGAGATATGAAGAGAAGAGATAAGTATAAAGGACAGATTTTGTGGGGGTACCCGGGTAAACTTGGGAGTCTCCGATCTTCTCTATATTGGT